AAGGAAAAAAAAAAAAAAAAAAACAAATAAACAAGATTCATTTTTCGAAAAGTCAAAAGCATTTTTTAATACCCAAAAGTTACTTTTAGATTCATTTGGTAAATTATATGAAAGTACTTTTTTTTTAGTTAAAAGAGCTTTGAGAGGAACTTAATCTAACATGACTTTCTCTAAAAGCACTTTCAGAATAGGAAATTTTTTAAAAAATTAATTTTCAAATATAAATTAAATCTATTAACTTAAAATTTAACAATAAAATTAAAATTATTTTAAAAATTAATAAATAAAATGTATTATTTAAAATAATTATATTATAATCAAATAATAAGGTCAAAAAAGTTCCAGGGACCTTCAGTTTTATACTATAAAATGGTAAGAAAATTGTTTTTATTATTTGGCTAAAACTTTTGTTTAGGGATTCAGTAACTCTCACGTCTAAAGGTAAAGTTAGAAGTTTATACGTGCTTCATGAGCAGCATCTATTGTCACATTAAAATAAAATTATTTATTTTATTCAAAACTTAGAAGTAATCATGTTGAATTAAAATGTAGAATAGAATAAAATATGAAAAAGAAAAATTGACAACATCGTAATTAGAAAAAGAAAAAATCAAGTTTTGAACAAAACAAACTTACAAAAAAAAAAAAAAAAAAGGAAAGAAAATTGTAAAAATAAATAGAAATCAAAGTTATCCATCCAAATAAATTAAACAAAAATGTAAAAATTTCATTCCAAGTAAAGAAAATTACAATTATATTCGAGTTAAGTGCCCAAAAAAAGAAAGAAAGAAAGAAAGAAAGAAAAAGAAAAAAAAAAACTTACCATACTTCTTAGAACATTTTACATAATTTTCTCTCAAATAATCGTGCACTCAATTATATTTTAATGAGATTTGAGTGATAAAAAAGGATTGGGTAATTATTTTGGAATAAAAAATGAGGAAACATTTAGGTCTTAAAAAATTAAGTTAAATGTTAAATATAGAGTTTTGTCAACTTTACCTTTCTAAATGTGAGAAAATTAATCCAAATGTTGACCAAAAAATAAAATGAAAAAAAGGGGAGTAAAAGTTGGAAAATTAGAAAGTCTGTTTTTGTTGGTAGGGGGTGAATTTGATCTGATTGCACAAATTTCTGGCCAAAAAAAAAAAAAATGGTGGTGAAAAAGATACTTTTTTTTAATGTCTCTAACGAGCGACATAAGATGAGTTAATTGTTTCAATACTCATTGAACTTAAGTCCATGTTTTTTATTGATCATTAAAATTTAAAATATCGAGTTTTGATCACTGGATTTAAGTCCATGTCTTTGATTGCTCACTTACTGAATTTGAAAAATGTTGTACATTACTAATTATAAACTCGATATTTTTCAAAATTCAACATTTATGCTAGTGAATAACGTACAATATTTTCTAAAACTAGGTGGCCAAAATTCGATATTTTAAATTTCAGTGAGCAATAAGAAATATGGACCTAAATTCAATAATCAAAACTCAACATTATAAACTTCAATAACCAATCAAATACATTTTTATTAACAATGAAGGTTTTATATCATTCTAGCAATTATATTTTTATTTTGTAAAGATTTAAAAATCGAGATTTTTGGGTTCACAGACCTCACCTCAGGTCCGGTTATATTCAGTCTTTGTCAAAGGAAGGCTTTTGCTCGATTCTTTCCCAAGTTTGCTTGTTTGCATTCTTGCAGCATTATTCTCAGTCCGAGAGCTGGAGAGGGAATTAATAAGGCTTTGTAGAAAACAATGTCTGAAATTTAATTTAAATTCTGACTGTAAAGCCTAGACATTTTGTCTTCAGTAATAGAATCAAATTTCTCGTGCAAAGATTGTCATTGAGATTTTTTTTGTAACATCCACGTCACATTGTACATAGAAAGGCAATAACTTGTTCGATTTTTCAGTTTATTCCAAGGCAAATAGAGAAGGGTCAATCAGGGCCGATTTTGCATAGAAGCAAGCGAGGCTCGTGCCTCAGACCCAATATCAGAGGGGCTTCAAATTTTAGAATCTTCACTCTTCCCTTTTTTCTTGATAAATTAGGTTTATTATGATTTTTTTTATTAAAAAATTGATAATTAGGCCCATTCCAATCCATTTATAAATTAGGCCCATTTCAAAAGTAACAGAAAGGAACAAGTAACTTAGGATTTCTAAAACTCATGTTGAAATAATCTCTTAATTCT